AAAAGTGAGTTGCGGTATTGCGATTCACTTTTTTATATAGATTCTATATAAAAAAGTGAATCGCAATACTGCAACTCACTTTTATTATATAGTAGAATCAATAGTTTCAGGTCAACAGGTCAATCAGGTCAGGTCAATCTTTATACCTAACCTGAATTTTTTTTAAAAATCTCATACCTGACCTGAATTTCAGGTCAGGTCAGGTCAGGTTACCTGAATTTGGCTGACCTGTTCAGAGCTCTAATTATAGCGTCTATCCCTAAACGAGCACCGTTCATATCTGTATGAAAGTACAGTCTCCTCTCGATATAACGAACCCTGCGTTCTGGCCGATCAGGCCTTCGTTATAAGCAACTTCGTTAACACTATAACGAATTATTCAGTGTAACATAGCGAATTCTTCGTTGTAATGTATAACTATATGTTACACTGATAGTTTTACAAATTTTGAAAATGCCGATATGCCGTAATTTTAACCTGTCAAATAATTACAGTTTCGGTCATATGATTTATACCGATTTACCACTGATCGTTGTAGATAATCTTTTTTTTTTTTAAAAAAAAAATGTAAAAAAAAAAAAAATCGGTAAAACCGAATACAAATTCGGTTTAAAAAACTGAAAAAAAAATAGGTTTATTAATAAGATTTTTATTTAAATTATTTTAATCGATTTTTCAGTTTTTTCTTAAAAAAAATGGGATTTGTTTATTTATTGTAGGAAATGGACTTCTAGATTTTAGGGAAAAATGAAAAATGGTAAAGTTCTAAAGAGGAGTTTGGGTAAAGAAACGTTCTAACGTTTCTTTTTTCTTTATTTTTGTAGGGAACGACTTGGGAACGGTCTTGAAGGACCTCGGGTAAGTTGAATGGAGGAAGTTTGGGGAATTAACTTAAAAGAAACGTTCTAACGTTTCTTTCTTAATTTATTTTTGCAGGAAACACCAGGAAAACCTCGGGTAAGTCGAATGGAGGGAGTTTTGGGAATTAATTTAAAAGAAACATTTTAACGTTTCTTTTTTTTCTTTATTTTTGTAGGAAAAGACTTGGGAACGGTTTTGGAGGACCTCGGGTAAGTTGAATGGAGGGAATTTTTGTGATTTGACTTAAAGAAACGTTCTAACGTTTCTTTTTTTTTCTTTATTTTAGTAGGAAACGACTTGGGAACGTCTTGGAGATCTCAGGTAAGTTGAAAGGAGGGAGTTTTTATAAAATAAATTTAAAAGAAACATTCTAACGTTTCTTTTTTCTTTATTTTTGTAGGAAATGACTTGGGAACGGTTTTGGAGACCTCGGGTAAGTTGAATGGAGGGAGTTTTTGTAGATTGACTTAAAGAAATGTTCTAACGTTTCTTTTTTCTTTATTTTTATAGGGAATAGCCTTAGAAAAGCTATGGTTGATGCAGTGTTATTAATAAAGAATCAGTCAATGATGTTTTCATTAGCAAATGATTTATTAAAGCGGAAATAAATATTTATTTCAAATGATTTTGCTGTAGCCGTTAATGAATACTTGAGTGGTATCAAAACTAGAACCGCATAATGCCATTTTGCTTGATCGGAAAATACTCTATATTTTTTGAAGAATTATTTTTTAAAATTTTATTAGCTTGTTGAATAATTACGTCTAAATATAAAATTAATTACGTCAATACAATTTAATACGTCATAATGCAAATTAATTACGTCAGTATAGAATCGATATAATTATAAATTTTTATTAATAGAATTATTCGATTACATTAACAAAATTATCAAGATTGATTTGCTTTGTAGAACAAAAGCGTTCTCTCAAAGCTTCTTTTTTTAATTTTTTTATAAACTTAATATCCTCATTATTTGAACCATAATTTTTTTCCTGACGTTGTAAATATAAGATCACTTTATCGTAACATTCAATAACTTCGTTATGAGTTATTGTTGGTAAAGGTTCCTCCTCAATTTCTTCTTTTTCTTGATTGTTAGGTTGAACTGCTTTTAAAATTTCATCATCAGAAATCATTTCCATTGTTACCTCAGAATCGTCATAAAGAACAAATTCTTCAGCTGTGAAAGAATTTTTGAAATCAAGTTTATTTATTAAGACTTGAACTTCTTCCAACTCCCTTAGGCGTTCAAGTTCAAGTTGTATATCAACATTGTTCTCGTAAGCTTCACGGTTGACACTTTCATCATCACTTGGCTCACCATATTCAGGTATAATACCTGCTTTTAGCCAACAATTTTTGATTGTATCATTCGTAACATTATCCCACGCACGTGCAATATATTTGATACATTTTTTAATGTCAATTTCACCAAGTTCAGTGCCATGTTCATTGAAATTATCAAAAGCTTTAACCCGATTACGCAAATACAACTTTCTATATTGTGCCTAAAATAATTAAATTTGAAACAATTACAGTGAACAAATACATTAAATTTGAAACAATTACAGTGAACAAATAAAGTTTACTTCTTACTTTAAAACTATTGATGATTCCTTGATCGCAGGGTTGAAGGTGAGATGTGGTATTTGGAGGAAGGTATTCAATAACAATATTTGTGAGAGTTGTATTTTCAGATAAAGCATGTGTTGGAGCATTGTCAACAAGTAGAAGTATGTGCCTATTTTGTGCTCTCATATAAGAATCTAATTTTTTAAGATAATCATTCCAGATAGATACTTGCATCCAACTTTTTTTATTCCAATAATAATTGACCGGAAGGGAATTTTTGTTAATATTTTTAAGCACTCTGGGATTTTCATATTTATGTATAAATAGGAGGCGCAATTTTTCAGTTCCGGTTGAATTGCAGGTAAATAAAATAGTTACACGATCCTTAGATTGCTTAGTTCCGGTTACAGAACTATTAGATATTGTACGATTCGGTTTCATTTTCCAGAAGAGACCCGTCTCATCACAATTAAAAATATCTTTTGGATCATAATCTCTTAATGTTTGACGAAGTTTTTCTCTCATTGAATCAAGATCTTGAATTGGTGCACTACCCCCTTCTCCATGAATATTATACTGCTTAAGATTATGTCTCTTTTTAAAATTATCAAGCCACCCATTTGATGCTTTGAATTTTTCTTCATTACACAATAAGGCAAAATCTAATGCCTTTGTTGTTAGAATACTTTCAGTAAGAATAAGTCCAGCTTGAAGTGCTTTATCTATCCAGACAGTAAGTGCTTCTTCAATAATAGGAAACTGAATTTTTTTTTCGCGTTTTAAATTGGCTTGATATGAATCATTATCTATT